AGTCCTTCAGGTGATTTTTTGCAAACCTTTTACTGAGGAGTGGCTTCCGTCTGGCCACTCTACCAAACGGGCATGATTTGTGGAGTGCTGCAGAGATGGTTGTCCATCTGGAAGGTTCTCCTCTGTCAGAGTGACCATCGGGTTCCTGGTCACCTCCCTTACTAAGGCCCTTCTCCCCCGATCGCTCAGTCTGGCTGGGCGGCCAACTCTAGGAAGAGTCCTGGTGGTTCCAAACTTCTTCCATTTGCGGATGATGGAGGCCACTGTGCTCATTGGGACTTTCAATGCTGCAGAAATCTTTCTGTACCCTTCGCCAGATCTGTTCCTCGATACAATTCCGTCTCGGAGGTCTACAGATAATTCCTGTTTTTTTATATATATATATATGTATACATTTTTTTTATAAATATATTTTTATATATATATAATATAGTTTCTCTTCACACAGAAATGTTCGACTCTCCACATAAAACCTTCTTTCAAAGCCTGCTTAAAGGCAAGACATGAACATGGGTAATGATGAATGGAAGTCAGGATTGTGCACACTGATTGTGTATTGCTGAAAGGAGCCTACTAAATAAGACACCACATCTGCAATGTGTTGGCCAAATCTCCAAGTCCAGGGGATCGGGCCCTTAAAAGTACTGATCTGTCTCCAGAAAAGAATAATCGGCCCAACAGCGAGACCCAATTATTTACCACAGAACCCCGGTGCTGACATCACCGGGCGTCTTTGTTTCCTTTGATTCGCACACGTACACATTCTCCTCCACAGCACCCTTGTTGTGCTGCGCTTATCTCACAGCTCCCATTGTCGACCTTTTTAACCAGTGGGAATTGAGTAAAATGTCACAAGACTCATCTGTATCACTATCATCTGAGCAAAGGAGTCAAAACAAAGCTATGAGATTAGCCCAGGATTGGTGTTTTTCTGGTATTTCAGGAATAACGTCAGGCTGAGATTACACTCGCCTTCCCGCTTGGCCAAAACAAGCATTTCCCAATCAAGGAACAGTCGCCCTATTTTCTTTACTGGGGGAGAACATTTACGGCAAATTACATGAAATCACATCAAAACAATGACGGTTTTCTATAATCGCCACATAATGGTTGTGATACAAGAAAAATCCACCCACTGTAAGTGGAGTGATACTGTTTTGACTCAAGTTCTGATCGCACCCATTAATAGTTGATAGTAGTGAACTTAAATGAGGCGTTCTTGTGTCTGCGTTTTAAACATTAAAGCAGTTTTATTTTGAGAATTTGTATTTCATGAAGAAAATCAGTTCCATAATATACTTTCATCCGGTCGTATAATGAATATGTTCAGGTTCAGTGGCAAGTAGAAAAACAAAAGCTCAAAAACCTGCAGATTAGGTCATTTGAAGACCTAAAAATACATTGTAATTAATACTTACCCCAGGTCATGTGTTGGCAGGTGGCTAATTGCAATTAACTACCTTTCCATGCAATATCTATCTTCACTGTGCCATTCGGGGACACATTAACTTATGTTTATGGTGTTCCCTGAGCTTTCTCATGGCTATTGCATCTGTAAATTGAGTGTAGTGCTTCTGTCAGCATTGGTTGCAATTTATTTGATCAGCCTCAGTACACAATGATTCAAAGGACTTCCCATTCCAAATCTTTGGCTTGGAGGAAATTCTGTAAAGTAGTTTTATGTATTTTGTCTTGTCTGTGCAGGTTATATTAAAGCGATACGGCCACAAATTGTTATGGGTCAGCTGCTGTTTTCTCCCCATCCTGTGTGTTTGTACCTTCCTTTTCCCTGGTGTGTCTGTGCTGTTTGTCTCCACCTACAGAGGCGTGGCCAGTCATCCAGAACCGTCCTCACACAGCTGATCTCCATTCCACGATTCACCCCTCCAGTATTTAAACCCGGGCTGTCTGCTTCTCCAGCGCCAGATAGTTATACACCCCCTGTGTGGTAACTTGACTTTGTATCCTGGCTCCCCAAGACTTTGAGTATTCATACTTGTTACGCACCAGCTCCATAGAAGGGAGGGGACCGTTGACACGCCGCTGCTCAAGACCCAAGTGTATCACTAGAGGGGGCATGTGGGGGTCGTGGTGCAAGTAGGACACAAGAGTTTTACCGTGTATAGATTACTTTATTATTCTCTAATCACACAGATTGCAGGGAGAAGGGCTGGGCAGAACCAAAGCAATGAAACAAACAAAAATACACAGGCTAGTTCCTATATATAGTGCTGTAGCTTTGGCACGCTAACCAAAAATACAGGTGGTGGTCTGCCCAGGTCTAGCTAGTGTTCCTAGACAGAGACTCACTGCGGGTGATGTATGCCCATGGGCCTCTAGTATAGCCACAACGGCTCCCTTCCCCCTGGGACGAAAAGGGAAAAGAACACGGTTGTTAGCAAACAAAACGGATTTAATAATAATGAAAACAGATATCAAAAACTAAAACACCCACAGAACAGTCAATCCACCCTAATGCAAAACAAATGTCTGACCATACAGTATCACCCATGTGACGCCGGCCCCTGGGGCCTGAAGACTGTGGCCTGTAGCATTTGTTTCTGTTGCAGTGACATAACACTCCAAATGTGGCTTTTTTTATCAGGTAATCCTAATGATTCTAGATATTTAAGCTCATGAACTCAGTGGTCAGGAACAACATAGTTATGTTTATGTCAACATAGCAGTTTTGTTTTTTTTCCTCTCACTCTATGGAGTCTCAGAATTATTGCCAACCTCAACTAACGGCAGAATGTAGCTTAGAATCAGCTTTAATTTGAGTTTGATGTATGAAAACAGCGATGTAACAGACTGCAACAAGTCCTTAATAGCATGTTACTGTTTTTTGAAAACATCCCAGCAACACACTTTGAATTGCTACTGGCTGAAAATCATGGACCAAAGTTTATCTTGTGTTTTCCTTTTTTCAGTCATGTGTATGTTCTTCGGAAGAAGGAATGTTTATCTATTTGTTGTAAATTAAACTGTGTGGATTTAGAATTTTCCATTTTCCTGTTCTGGTTTATTTATCAGGGCATTAATCTCATGGGGCTCCTTACTTGCAGATGTTAAGGACTGTTTATCCTTTCAATGTTCTGTATTCATTTTGGACACTAATCGGTTACCAAAGTGAAACTAGTTTAGTTTCCCTGAACATGACGTGTTAAAAAATAAAACTGTATTTTTGTTTTCTTAAAAGCAGTATTATTGAATGATATGATGTATCATATTAAATGAGACATTGGAATAATACAATAATAATCTCATTAAAACATCAATTATGACCCACAATACAGAAGAAAATGCAGCTGTTCTGTAATCTCTAATCCGGAGAGACAAGTCGGATAGAGAGAGGATGATTTTGTGTTAACAGACAACGTGTGAATAATAAACCTGTTGAATCCACAGAGACCAGATGGAGATGGGAAGCTGGAGGGGCACCTCCAACACGAACGCACTGTACTGAAAGTACAGACACAATCGTATTCATCAGATACACAGCAGCAAGGTGATTATTGTATAAAAAAAACACCTGCTGATCTAAACAGGTGTTGTTATGATTGACAGTGACAGTAAGGAAATAATGAATGAGCTTACTTTAGGAGTGATTGGTAGATGATTGAGAAATAAACTGCGTTTATGCCTTCAAAAGTGTGATCTTAGGTTCAAATTATTTTTTTCGGTCTATTTGCATGTTTGGCAGTGTTTGGTTCTACCCCTTCTGCCTCAGTTTGATTCCCAACCTGTGTGATCATCCACCTCGTCCCCATGAGTCGCTGGTCCCTCGTTACCTCCTTGTTGGTCAGTTTGCCTTTGTACGTGATCTGGAAGCCGTACGTGCCGGCCGCTTGGGAACCGGTAATCAAAAGGCTCTTCATTGAATTTCACAGTCTCTGACTCTGCATTTAAGTCACCTCTCCTTTCTTCACATTGACACAGAAGTTGTATCTCAACTGCATGAAAAACAAACAGATGTACGGTCACAACCGTTCCCTGTGGTCACATCCCAATTCATAATATTTGGCTGGTTTGACAGAAACTCCCATCAGCAAGTATTTTCTTGTTAAAATGTGAGGCAACTGCATTTTTAAATTAGGGTTTGAAGAAATGTGTTAAATGAAGTACACTTGTAACATAAGCTAAGGAAATTACATCATGTGACTCAATGCTGTAGCATCGCCTGACATCACAATATCAGTAGAAGTTGCTCAACTTTCTCAATGTTTTGTGAGTCAACCAACAGGATTTAGGCGAAATTAAGATTATCTGCAACCAAAAGTCTTTTTGAAATGAGCTGGACTTCTCTATGTGGCAGCCATGAATGAATTCAATGAAAGAAGGCGATTCAATGCTTTCTTTCTTATCTCTTTCAACAGAGGAGAGACTGGACCATTCTTTACAAAAGGAAAGGAGATAATACCAATCTCAGAGTTCCTTGCAGCAGCAAAATACCAATCCCAGAATTCCTTGCAGCAGCAATGTTTGCACAGATTTAACAATAATTTCCATACAGTTGTGTACTAATGGGATTGTTGTGGAAAGTAACAACCATTTAAATTTAATTCATTTTAAACTATTTAGTTTTGTTCAGCTCGAACCATTCTCCACAAATCCCTTCTGTTAAAAGATACTTTTTTAAACTGCAAAAAGCTTTTGATTTTGTTGAAATAGCATTCATGTTGATTATTGCAATACTATATGAATAAAAAAATAAATCTCCTGAGTAGTTTGCCTTCTTTTGTTGAAGAAGTTTTAACAAACACACTCACTTACAGCATGTGATAAACATTGTTACATTTAAAAACATTACATTTTAGCTTCTCAAGATCAAGTAAGGTTCACAGTTGTCCTGCACACTGGTCCTGGATCTGTCGGTTGATGGAAACCTCAAAGCAAACAGACCATTCTGAAAACCCGCCCTTCCTCAGCTGTCTACACATTCCAGTCTGATTGGCTTAGCTGTTGGCCCGAAGCCCAAAGGGAGTCCCTATAAATGTCCCCACGAGCTGAAACGCAGTCAGAAAGCAAAGACGACTCTGAGGCCTTACACAGACAACAGAATTCACTCTCAAATACTGCAAAGAAAAGCCCCGGAAAATGTGTAAAGGATTAGCAGCTTTGCCCCAAAGCTGCCTGGAAAGGTGAGAGAACAGCATCATCGCTTCACGTTTACCTGTCGTATCATGTCTAAGTGGATAAATCTGATGATCCGCGACTTAAAAATTAGTAAAGCGATTAGTAAATTAAATTGCATGCGCTCATTCCCTAAGCTATAGTCTCAATCGGAAAGAATTTAAAGGCTTTATCATCATTTTTGTGAATTTTTTCACTTTCTGAAATTAATTTGTAAAGAATCTATTTACAACAGACTTTTTGAACTGAAGAAAAGCTTCCAAACATTTTTTATGCTCACTCATATTTAAAGCGTATTTTGGGTGTATAGTTTGTGCAGATTAGTCAATAGTGTCAGAGAAATCTAAGGTGTTCTTTGCACTCTCAATACTGATGGAAGGACCCACATAACATGTTCACAATCCAGTTATATTTGGTTTTTAAAATGTTTTGCAGTTCAGTTTTTGTTTGTCATCAATTACATGGATCTTTTTTTGGAAGTGCAGCGTTTTTTTGCCTTTTGCCTGCTTTTTTTAAAAGACAACATCAAATCTTTTATTGCAAATCACGTTCTAAAATTCGTAAATCAGCCAACTGACATACATCTAGTGACTTGTATAAATATATTTTAAATCACATTTATCGCCATGAAGGTCTTGGATAAACATGACTGCATTATTTTTACTTTGGTGTCCAAGAATCACACAAGTGGTCTGCTTTCTGTCATCCAGGGCGAAGGAGATCAAGTCAAAATTGGGCGTTTTGCTGCAGAAGCCGGAAAATGCCATCGACCTCATCATCCCCTACCCAGAGAAGGCTGAGAAGAAGCCCGAGAAGCAGCAGAAGTGAGTCCCTCCCTTTGCCTCCTGTCACAGAGATCAATGTCCGTGGAGGTGGGGAACAAGATAATTGATGGTAAAGAGGCCGCGCAGAGGCCAGAGCAGGCACAAAATGTGTGGATCAATGCACCTTAAACTCGGAAGACACTGACCAGGCTCGGATGTCACTGTTTAATGCTAAAGATCATCAAGACATCCCCTTGAAAAGACTGTTTCAAAAAATGTCTAACCAAATTAGCTATTTTTCGAGCATCTTCCTTTTATTCCCACATTTAGAGGGTAATCAAATGGCAAAGGCCCTTTCGTTGGTTTAGTTGAAACATATTCATGAAATAAGAAAAGCAGCACTTTTTTTTATGGGAAATGATTCCCCATGAGTCTTTGTTCTAGTTCCCCTGGGAGTCATTGTGGTGAAGACCATACACCTCTTTATTACCCTCCTGCCCCAGTAACATGTTGACAATTTACAATGGCCCTTATGTGTCCACATTGTAAAAGCATTTGCATCTCTTTGTTTGGATTTCACTCAGTGTATTATTACTGCAGACATGTTGCACCTTTTTGTCGCTGCGCGATTAAGCTGAAATACACGCTAGTTTTACAAGGTGCCCATTTAACATTTACCTCCACTTATATTTCAAAATCCAACTATGGAGGGCGATTGGTTGTAGGCATAACTCCCAGGCCTGTAATAGTTCCTTACAGGTAATTTTCCAACTCGGAAAAAATATCCCAGCAGATGTGGAAGCAGCCAAATGTCTAAAGGCTCCCCTTGTTTGGAACGGTACATTCACCAGACACATTTCATGGCCAGTGGATGTTTTCCAGACTTAAATCTCTGTGCAGAAATCCAACAAAGCAGAGATCAAAGGATGTGGTCTGGTTTTGGGAAACTCTTTTTGAAACCCTTAAAAAAAAAAAAAAGTTCAGTAAGAATCAATAATCTACTCAAGAGAAAAAAAGGCTGATTGCATTGAGACATTATTCAAGTGAAACTAGACATACTAAGAGGATAATGGATGCAGTGTATCTTCATCATTTTTCATGACACCCATTTTGGCGGCGGCATAGGTGGACCTTTTTACTTTGGTGCAAAATCTCATGTATAATTTTTAAATACTCATTTACAGTAGTAGTGACATTGTATTTTACATAATATTTGTCAACAGTTGGGATACTTTGAAGCATTTTTTGAGGTCTGAGGTCTGATTGAACGGAGGTATTTTGTTTGCAGGCCTACTCCCGAAGAGGCTGCTCAGTGGCGTGAGGGTCTGGACCGGGTCCTGAACAACAGCTGTAGGTTTGCCCTTTGTTTACTCGTTCCCTTTTGTCTCAATGTGGGACGTGAGACCCCACAATAATCAAGGGGTGTTAAAATTTAATTTAATCGTTAATTTTTTCTTCTCTTCACAATGGTGCCATTCATTTTCACACAAAAATAATCCTCTTTGTTCCAATCCAAAAATAGACACCAAACAACGAGGACACCATTATCTCACACCAGCCAAAGCTTACATCTTCAGCATATAGCAGATGAAACTTTGGCTTAACTTCAACCATTCCAAGAGTAGAAAACACGGCTTCTGAGGTCAGGTGACTTTCTGGTAAACGGGTACGCCTATGACGAGATGCTCTTTAGTTTTGTTGCATGAATAACCAGGTTTTTTAAAACCTCAATATTGGAAGAAAATCTATAAATTCAAGTAAATTGGTACAATGGTACATTTTTAAGAGCAACAATAAGCCAGCAGGACGTTTTTAATGTAAAACTGCAATATACCTACACCTTGCCGTAGATCAGTTAGTGTATCTGTCCATTGAAACAGGTTTAAAGAGACACATTCACACACCATCCGTGGAAACCTGCACAGCATGCATGAAAGTAAGCCAAAGTAATGATTAACTCTAAGTGGTTGGAGGTATTTAGCGGTATGTGTAAACTCTGCTGCTAATAACTCACTTAAGTTGCCCAAGCACATGTTAATACATCCACCCACAGATGTTAGTGAGCAGCTGATGTAGGACTACTGCAGGGAGCAGAATTCCCTTCGTAGAGCTCAATGTGCGGCAAATGACCTTTTGTAAGTGGCTCCTTGTGCACCGCGTGGGGCAAAGAGATGCATGTTCGCGCTGTGTTTACATGCCTGACAGAGTGTGCATTGTGCGTCTGTGTGTGTGTCCGTCACATTGAGGTCATGTCTGTTATGGTAGAAATCTCCAGGGAGAGCGCTGAATAATTCTGCCAGAGTTGATTTACTGCACGGCTGTTGCAAACTGCTGCGCTGTGATTATTTATCTACGTGAGTTTTTGCATTAGCAGCATTCTTAATGGCTTCACTCTTGATGATTCCTATGAGATACTCGGAGTCATTTCCTCTCTAATAAACTTTAACCCCCCCTCCCTCTTTTGCCTGAAAGTGAACTTGTACAGCCCAATGTAAATATGCGACAGGAAATAAATAAATAATGTATGGATATCCTCTAGCGAAGAACATAGCACTCGTAGGAAAAAATCTTCAGTCCGTACAGTTTTGAATTACTTCATCATGCGGCTTTTTCAACCTGCGGGTCAGTGAAATTAATTACAACGGAAATGAATTCAGCAGACATGGAAGTGGAATATTTTACAACCATGAATGCAAAGAAATATTGAAGCTACAATTTCTGCTGGATGTTGCGCTCTCCTACACAAAGAGACATAAATTGGCATTGTGCGTTTTTGTGTGTCTTTGAACTGAAGGTCTGTCGAAAAAGCTTGCAGCTTGATTGCGACTCGGAGCCATTTTGAACCAAACTAACCATTTAGATTGCAGATAAAAGCCAGAGGCCACAGCAAAGGCCTTATCATCTGTAGCACATGTTCACTCAGACAATGGGACCTTTGCAGGCATTATGTAGAACTACAATGGCCGTCGTTGAAAGGAGAGGTTGTTTCTAGTCTTGTAATGGATCGTTATCTTGGGCTTTTACAACTGTCCAAATGCTTCTGTTCTCTATTTTGGAACAGGGTATCTGCCCTCTTTTTGTTAATACGAGTCTCACTACTGCTTATCTTATAAAATGATTTATAAAGTCTCCAGGATGTTTTTCTTCCCTTTATTCTTATAGAACACATCTCCTTTTTCTTTTGTGTTGTTCTAACTGGATTTTCTTTGCAAAAACTAAAACTACAAAATGGGAAACTACAATTTTCCTCTGAAAGAAAAATACCAAACCTCTGTAGCATAAGCTACCGCTCTAACTCTTCATTTAATTTTCCACTACTTCACCTCTCGCGTCTGCAAATCAAGTGATAAAAGCTTTTAGACTTGGAATCTGTAACATAACTGGCTTCATCTATCTGTTAAAATAATGGCTTTTGGGGCCTAAGTGTCTGGTTATGTAAATGTTCTATTTTATTTGAAATGTGATGGATTCATTTGTCAGAGACACAAAGGTGAAAGGCAAAAGTGTCACTGCTATAAAACAGGTGTGACACATTTGAAATCTGACCGAAAAGGGTCAGAACGTTAATGCGTTCTGACAAGCAGAAGTCTTTAATCAATATAATACCTTGAATATAAAGCTCCAATGCTTACATTTATAGCCTCTCCTTCACCCCCCCCTTCCTCACCAGATGGTCTGGCTGCTTTCCGTAGCTTCCTGCAGTCCGAGTTCAGCGACGAGAACATTGAGTTCTGGATGACCTGCGAGGACTTCAAGAAAACCAAGAACCCCGTGAAAATGGCCACCAAGGCCAAGAAGATCTACGAAGACTACATCCAGTCTGAGGGACCCAGAGAGGTCAGAGACTCATCGAAGACACGGACTTCACCAAGTAGTCCACCCACAATGAGCTCTCACTTTAAATCGAGGGTTATTCATCTTGAAAAACTAGCAAGAATACACTAGATTAACATAACCATGAAAGTAACTCGCATAACTAATCTTGTATTTGTTTTTAAAATGACCAATTTTTGCTTTGAGCAGTGATTTGGAATCACTGAAAACGGTGCCGGCCCTCATTCTCTTGGCAAAGAGGAATTTGTCAGAAGGTGGCAATGAGAAATGTATTCTTGAGACGCCATTTAAAATCAACCAGTGTAGTCAAAAGAAAGATGAAATGTTGGAGGGAAAGCTGCATGCAGATGAACAACGTGTAGAAAAGAAATACAGGCTCGCTTGAGTTTAAACAGATGAGCTTACAGACAGAGAATGTACTGAGACTCCTCACGCCAGTGATCAGCACATGGACGAGAACATAAATACACTTACACCGTTGGCATGTTTTCAAAAGTAGTCTCTTATTCTAGAGACATGGCTTCTACTCCACTGCATGTTAGAATGAATTAACTTGTTCTGATGTACACTCTGTTATTTACCATAGTTAGTGTATTTTATTGCACAATTACTGTGACTATTATTACTATGAAACTAGTTTTGGTGACCATCAACATGGTCTCTCGCAGGTCCTCTCCAGATAAAAATATCAGGACTTGATTTGTGTCGTTTTCTTCCATCACAGGTGAACATTGATCACTTCACCAAGGACGTGACCCTGAGGAACCTGGTGGATCTCTCCCCGACTACCTTCGACCTGGCCCAGAAGAGGATCTTCGCCCTGATGGAGAAAGACTCCTTTGGTCGCTTCCTTCGCTCTGAGCAGTACCAGCAGCTCCTGGTCTAAGCCAGAGCCCAGTCTGAGGAAACTGGGTGGATGTGGGGCAGGGAGGTTTCAAACAGCAGTTGGTTAACATGACAAAACAAAACACATTTTACCGTTTTTGTAATTATTGGCCGTTTTTACAGCTTATGAAACAAAAGGCTTCTTTTCTTTCACAAAGAGGCAAAAAAACGATTTGAAATGACGCTTTATACTAAACTAAAGTGAAAGGCTGCCTCTTGAAACAGCCCTGCCTCCACAACCAACCGACACAACCCCAAACACATTTCATTTAGTCCTTCCAAAATAATTGCGGCTCTCCAAGAATGACCCCACTCGTCAAATATGGCGATTAAAAACCTGATGTATCGTTTTGTGCAAAGTTTGACCCCCTCAACATCCTTTGAGTAAGCTGCAGAATGCAGGGCAGACTTTCTGACAAAAAGCCCTACTGCAGGGGCATTTCTACAGAAATCTAGCAACAAGTATATCAATAATAGAAAACCATTGGGAATATTTCTTTCTAATTCTAAATATAACAACAGTTACATCGTTGGCTGTTTGAAATCAATTTAATTTGTTAAATGCTTTCCAGCAAAAATCAAATATTTTGTCATTTGAATAAAAAACATCCTAACAAAGTGGACTCACCTCTAGTATCAGTGCACATGTAATGGTTACCACATAAGTGTTGTTTTGTCTCTTCACACTCACGTAGTCAGTCTTTGATTTTCACCAAACTCCCCATTTTGGATGAATCCCGTTTGGATGTATCCCATCTTTGAGAATAGTGCAGACTAGTTCAGTGGTGAAGCACCTTGACTTCCACTAAACTGCATGTTGTTAGGTCGGGAAAATCAAGTAGGAGGGAATCAGAGAGAGAAGTGAAAAGAGCAGCGGTTTGAAGAGAAAGGTATTTTTCCCATGTTATGTTACCACGGTTGTATGCAAGCAACCCGAATTAATTAAAGGTCTCATATATACACACCATTTAAAAATAAGGGGGACAGAGCTTGCAAATCAATGCAAATGCTCTTTATTAAGACTTCAAAGACGTTCTAAGTAAAGTAATGGAAGGAAAAAGCCCACCAGTCAGAAAAGTAGACACTGAATAGTGGCAATTGATAAATCTGGCTATATGCACTTTTCACTTATCTTTTATTATATACTTATAACAACAGGTTGTTATTTGCTGAAAGCTGTAAGAACATTGGTTCACCTAACACACTGAGCTGAGGCATGGATGGATGTGACGGTGGATTTGTTGGGTGTGCAATGGTTAAGTTAGGTGTGCACTTTGGTTCAATGTAGCGCTTGTTAAGTGTGATTATATTTACTCTTTAGTGCTTTTTATATACAAAACAAAAGCATTATGTATTAACCAACACAATAATATTGTTATCTAGATATTCAGCATTTCACAAGTCCTTATTGGTCCCTATCACACAAATATCCAAAACTACACCATCTAGAGCAGCAGTTGTGACTCACAAATGGGAAGGGGGGAAAAAAAACAGTCAAAAAGAATCTGTGGTATTTCAATTTTAAAACAGCTTTGGCAAGAGCCCATTGTGGCACAGATTAGCCAGTCTGGTGTCATAACCCTCACTGTCATGAAAGTCAAGAATCCAGTCACAGGAAAATCAATAAGGACTTTAACAGTGCTGAGTATGCGTCTTTTGCTGTAGAATGCATGTAACCTCTGGGGTCCATCATATAAAAAAATACATATATGCATACAACTCCTGAAGATGTATTTATTTTTACGTGTAAATATCAATTATTTAAATGGAACATACGATTATATGAATGGACAACAGGCAAAGATTCTATCCCCAGAATCGTCACCTTTTATAAAAGAGGAAACACCTGACTTGTAGTTGTGACTGCATTTGTTGTTTAACTGCATTAAATCCCTCTTCCTAACGCGGGTGTATATATAAAGCACATAACGATTGGCTTTTTAAAACTGCGATGAAAAACTACAATGTAACCAGAAAGCAGAAACAATGAAAATGCCACATAAAAGTTATTTAATGATGAGAAGTATAAAACGTTGTACAATGTGGAGTTCTTTTAAACACAAGTTTTGTCAACATTTAACTCGCAAAACACATCGAAGTCCAACAAATATCTTCAACTGCATTTCGTTTCTCTCAAAACATTTGCAGAGTCAAAAATAATGTGTTTTATTCCAATCCAAACTATTCATTGTCCAGGTTTGCTTGCAGGCAGTCGTCTTACCGCCGCTCGTGACCATGTTCTAGATAAACAAACAAATGGGGATTCGCTCGTAGAACAACAGTTCCAAAGCAATACCAGAGGTCCAAAGATCCCACAGGTCACCCATTGTCAAAACAAATTGACAAATTCTCAGTTTCATGACTAACTACTTGCAACAATAATGGCATGCCCATCAGCCTGCGTGCTTCAATGGCTAAACGTGGTGAACATGCTTTAGTTTAGTATTATATGAGCATGTTAGCCAGCCAGCCTCACAGATATCTTAGCAGATCTGTGGTTAATGAACAAATTCATTGGCGTACCTGCAGAAATTGTGTTGCAGGTTTGGTATACTCAATCGTCTTGCGTAGGAAGGTGCTGTTTGTAAATGTCTTATGTACTCCCAAAATGGACCAAACAAACACAGGCTTTATTGGAGGTCGGTCAAACTTCACCATTACGCCGTTTTACTCTTATTTTCACTTCACCGCTTAAAGGCGGAAGAGCAGAAGGCAATTCCATTAGTTGCAATGTGCAACTCATTGCTGGAATCCAATAATATGTAACTATCAATATTTAATTACCAGGAGATACTTTTAGCTTATACCCTTTAAAGTGTCGCACCAGCAGCCCAACCAGAGCTGCTATAATGGAGTTACATGAAACCCACCAATGGCACATCGATGTATGTCAAATCTTTAGACTTAATATAATGTTTAAAACGGAGTTTGGTGGGTGGGGGTCAAATGTTTTTCATAAACCTCCAAGGAAGTCTCTAGAATAGTTCTGGAATTGTCACACAACCAGGTCTGAAAACCGATGGCAATTGGATATCTGTATTTTTCTAGTTCCTTCCCAAGTTAAGTCATTTTTTTAAAGATCAAAGCAGTATGTGGAATGTTTGCCTCTTTAAAAGACTGAAACACAGAGCAGAAGCAGATGCGGCTGAGGAATGGGCTGCCAACACAAACACTCAGAGGCTTGCATGGAAGAGTCCGTTACTGCCAAACTTCAGAGAAATAGGAAAAGGCCAGATGTCTTTAGTTCTGAAAAGAGGTGGTGACATTTCTGATAAACGGTTTGTTGTGTTGAACCCACTGCTTTTAAATGCCTGGTCACATTATGTCTTCTTGAAAGCTTAAACATAATAAATTGAGATGCAGGAAGATAAAAAACACACAATGCAATTGCAAATATTGTAGTAGTCAACATAAAAATCTAATCATTAATCAGATTTAACTTGATGCATGAAATAAATTTCCTCTAAATGTGCCTGATGATGAAGATGAATTATACTGAGATTACGTTTTCCTGATTTCCATATAATCATTTCTTCTGTCTGTACTAATGAATATCCCTCCAAGCACAAACCGACCTACAGTCATATTCAACTCTGTGGAAAAACACAGGGATCCAACTTGATTGTGATAAGAAACCATATCATATCTGAACATGGGTTGATCTGTTTTGGTGAATTCGCTCTAAACTTTTGCAGAAACCATTACGTGGAAATGGAGTCGGACATATTGCAATTTAGCGTGATCATCATGGGAAAAACTGACTTTTCCACAGGGTGTAAGAGATAAAACTATAATAACCATAAAACTATACAGGGCCGTTTATATTTACTCAGGCGTCATTATCAGGCAGATGCGTTGGTGGAGCAGAATCGGTGAGCACGTGAGAAGCTGATTACTCGCTTAGTTCCTCGTGAAATAAGTCGCTGACAACATTGAGGTAAAGAGTTCTCATTGCTTCAGGGGTTGAGAACACTGTAGCTGAATGATTGCCAACAAAAATGGACATGACTTCCCTTTTCAAAATGAAAAATTATTTTGCCGACTAAGTTATAGAAAGAGATCGTATCAAGAACGAGAACAATCTGGTCTCACACGCAATTTCTGGAATATTTATCAGTTCCTCACAGCGTCTGCTACTGATGCGCTCAACTCACTCCAAGCTGGACGGACCCGGGTCATTAACGAGCAACGAGGTCAACGCAGGGCCAGTGGGAGGTGAGGTTGATGCTTTAAACCAGAAAGTTCATCTTAAAAACACACTCTTGAAACTTGACATGCCGTGAAATAGAAGGGGACTGCGGGGGAGGTCCCCAAAGAATACAGTCTCCCGTCCTATCAGCGGGATCATCATCTGGATGTGTAAGCAGTCACGGTAGTCTGGGGCTATCCGGGTCGGCAAGCCTGACTGTGCATGTGTCAAATGAGTTCAAATTGTATTAGTCCATGAAGACGAAATATGATTAAAATCCATAGAAAATACAATGATATTCTCAGGCAGACATTATTGGACATAAAGGAGAGGATGCAATTATAAACACATGCACATTTCTGCATAAATATATATTTAAACACCTTGTGATTAAATCGCATCGAGGGTCCTTCAAATCGGATCCTTTCTCTGACTTCCTGTGTGTTCTTTGAAGGCGTCTCCTGCTGCGGCCTGCTCTGTTCCACTCTCCAGCCTCGTGACTTTGAGCCAGCATGCACGATAGTCGCAGCAGTGAAATGGAAGTCAACCATTATTAACTTCATTGTTTACACCTGTATTTTTCCGTAACACATCAAAATATCTTCCTTTGAATTAAGGCACATCTCCCTCTGTTTTGCATTCTGGTTTAAAGAATCCGTCCCGTGAACTGAAACCAGATGGAGTGGACGTGAACCCGATACCCTCCGACAACACTGTCGTGTTGACCTACATATCCGACGAAATTCAAAACAAACATTTATATAGACTCATGTGTTCGGACATTAAGCTGAATGGACATTAAGCACAACTCATCGCGCTGCTTATTTGTACATTTGCAGGAAAAAGCCATGCAGAATATCCCTTTTGCATCGATGGTGACGGATGGCGTCTAGGGGAGAGTGCATTACACGGCCAAACCCGTTTACTCCTTGACTGTCATGTGCAGTCCCCCAGCTGTGATTCTGACTCAATTAATGTGGCGTCACACTCTTGTTGTGAAGCTGGAAGATTTTTATTTTCTAGATGCGATTATCTCTCACCTGTTCCCCGGTTCCCCCTTCACACCTGCTCTTTATCAGTTAATCACACTGTTGACGCCTCACCTGTACCTCATCATCTAATCGAGCTCCCTGTCTATGAAGCACACGTTCAACAGACACATGTAAGCTTGTGTACAATAATTGTTTTTATAGAGTCTGTGATGGTGGTTTACATTATGATCACATCCTTACACACTTTCAGAACTAGGACGTCACTTGTATAATCAAAACTACTAGCAAACTCATTATATGGTAAACCATGGCTAAAAGCTAAGCTATATTATTAATATATTAAGTAATTCATTATAGTACTTTATTTTGTGCGTTTGAAGTTTAAAAGATTTACAATTGATTCCACGCCATGAATTTCCTCTTACATTTTTGTTGGGTAAATGGTAAATATGATTGTTGAGAATGGTGAGTAGAAGTTTTTCCATCAGTCATGGCTACATTTGCAAACAAGGATTAAGAAATGTATTTTGAAATTGTCATACTTGTCTTTCATATCATTGGTAATATTAGTTTATTTTCTCGTTATTTGCAGAATAAATTGATATTCAAGAGTTGAGTGCCAAATACATTCATTCATTCATTTTCTACCGAATCCACCTTCTGTATGAATGTATTTAATGCAACTGAATAAGAACTACAACATCAACATTGGATTAAAAAACAATCCTACCTGAAAATATCAGCTCAGATAAATCAGTTTTGAATAAAATAGTACATTCAGGCTGGATTGGCTTTAAATCTTATCAAACGACAGCGTATGCAATGCAATCAACCAAAAATACATTCCCTCCAGAAACCTTGACATGTTATATACACATTTGATGTGCATTCTTTGCAGTCTGTAGGTCAGCGGTTTAACAAAGGGAAGCCACCTTGGTTCAATGACTGCAACAACTGAGCGGTGTAATCCCAGGGGGACACAATCCTATGGCTCAATAGTTCCCTGTTGACCGACCTACTTTCAGGGGCTGCTCTTCTAGTGTCTTTATTGAACCAATGTCCTCCCGATATAATGGGCTTGCCTTTTTACATTTTTTCTGTTGACTTTACAATCTTCAGTGGCTGTCGGAGCCTCCAGGCAGCCGTGTACTGTGCATGTTAAATGTAAGTGTTCAAAGAGTTACTATGTGGTGCAGATTCCACTGGCTCATACGGGCTTCATCTCCACCAACTGTTTTGGTAAAGAATGTATATTTTATGTATTTTACATTAAAAAAAATTGATAAATAGTTGTTGCTGCAACAGAAGTGAGATGAACACTTCATCCCTGAAGTGTCTATTATCAAAGTATCTCAACACAATAAACCAGAGAACTAGGCCTGCCGCCCCAGGTGGTGGTAAAGATAAGTGGCTTTGCATGTGCACAGGTCCGGGGCGTACGTGCTCCCTTGCATGCGTGATCACATTACAGCACCAGATCCTCCTGCCAGGTTTTAATTAGCAGGCCCCCACAGCTGCTTGCCGTTGGTAAGGCCGGAGAAAACATCCAGCGATAAGCAGGTTAGCGCTGAATGAAGCGCCGATTAGGCCTTAGAGCCTGAGCCTGCACAGCGTGGGCTCTGCATAACAGCTGCAGGCGAGGAAAAGCACGCAAAGATGAGTCCTTTAT